ATTGCTATCCCGAGGGCGATTATTGAAACCACTACGTGAGTTGCCACGAGAAGAACCACAAGATCCCCGACCACCTCGGTTATTGTTGAAAGATCGAGAACCATAATATGCTTGAGCCCGTGGGGTGGGAAAGGGGTTTAATTGATAACCAAGTTGAGAAGCCACAAGTTGAATGCTTTGGAGTTGTTGCTGAAGTTGATCGATATTTGGTTGTTGAACCGAAGATACAGCAGCCGTTAGTGGCTGGGATATTGGAGCAGTGTTGGCCAGGAAAGCTTGTAGAGTTAAGGTCTTTGTAAAAACATAGTCATGATCACACAAAAGACCATGCAGTTCATTGAAGCGAACAGGGGGTAAACGAGTCAATAAGTTGCCTTTAATGACATTGTATTCCGCTCGAAGCCCTGCGATAGTTAGCATTACTAGGTCTTTGTCCTTCATTGGTTCTCCAATGTTAGCTAGAGCAGTGGCATATTCGTGAACCCTGTTTAGGTAGTCAGCCGGTTTTTCATCACCCTTCATGGTGATTCTAAGCAATTGAGTTTTGAGAGTAAATTCATGAGAGGCTGTAACAGGGGCATAAGCTCTTTCAAGAGAAAACCATACCTCACGTGATGTTTTTCCCTGAATGTGTTGATAAGAATCTTCGGACACAGTAGAGATGATAAGCATCCGAATATGGGCATCGTTTGAGATCCACGGGATGTAGCTTGGATTGTCGGTGGTTGCTGATTCGTTGGTGACTTTCTGATCAGGGCACGGTACTGTTCCATCGACATAACCAAAGAGATTATGAGATGTGAGAAAAGCTTCAATCATAGAACGCCAATAGCCATAGTTGGTAGGTTTGAGAGAGAAGGAGAATTTGTGGGAATTGTGAATGGTTTTCTCCTGATGTGAAAAAGCGATTATAGCTGCCATGAATTTTGATGTTGATTTGTCTGGAATTTAACGTCGGCAGAGTTGCTGATCGCAGATTGTTGATTTGGCCGGCAGAATTGATGAGCGGCGATTTTAGGGTTAGAGAAAATAAAAATCGATAAACCAGGATTTGATATGGCTCTGATACCAAATCAGAATTGGTATCGATTGTATTGATTCAAAAAAACAATATAAGACACTTTTAGACAAGTAGTTATATAGGTAAAACTAATTACACTTTGGACCCTAGACAATATTAAAAATATAAACTAGACTAGCCGACTTAGTCTAATAGTCCAAATAAGCCTCCTCATTTTTGTCATCTCCAACTTCCTCTCCTGGGCCTTCCTTGACGTCCGACATTCTGACACGATCTATACATTATAGCTAGTCCGATGGCTACCCGGTAGAACTTATCCTTTAGTTTTAACGGGGGCTTTTTGTCACACAACACCTCCATGGCAGCTTCCACTTTAACCACCGCAGTCCTCATGCCATGTGCTATCTCATTATCGACCTCACTCCATTCTGAATCATAGAACTTAGATACTTGAAATTATCCTTTTGGAGTACCCCATCCTTTGCCCCCCAAAGTTGACTTCCACCCCCTCATTGGAGTGAAAGAAAGTAGGAAGTGGAAGAAAGTAGATTGTTATTTTATGTAGTTTTCCCTAAAAATTATCATATACTAATAACATTGACCATTGTAAAGATAAAATTTCAAGATAGGGCCATGTTTGATGGTAGTTGAAAATCAATTATTAGGTCATATAGCTATGACATGCTAAGTACAAGTTGGTTTTTATAGTCTGTACCATACAGCACTACTAACAAATGCGTGAGATAAACTGAAACTATAATAATGGGAAGAACGTGAAAAAGTTTGGACCTGTGACCACCATAGAAGAAATCTTGCAATAAGCCAGTCAGAATTTTCAATCCAACGTCGAAGCATAGGGAAAATGAATAGTGCTGCTGCTAGTACATTTGGAAGCAAATACAACGCCACAACCAAGAGATATAGAGAAGGAATGCCATCAAATCGGTTAAGAAAAGCAAGAATATCTCTGACTTCCCTAAAGGGAATTGAGATGTTGTCATTGTGGTGTATATAACATAGTGGAAGAACGATGGACCATGCAAGACTAGTAATAATCTTCAAAATGTTCCTCAAGACAGCTGTGAACTTCCATCTATGATATCCAGGGAAGTTCAGAACAATGTCCAATATACCTGTAACCAAGCAAAAGACAGTTATGAATACGTGGACATCATGCATTTACTTTAAATAAGTTTACCATCAAAGACCAACAACTTGAAGTACATGTGGCAAGTTAACTGGATTCGTCGAACTACATTGTATATATAGAAAATATGCCAATTCCAAAGACATCTGGGTGCTCAAGAATTTTATGTCAAGTATCCAAAGAGAACGGTTATCTTTTCTATTTGGTATTCTAAATTCTATTATAGAATAGATGAAGACTGAAGAATAATGATCGAAGCATGGGAACCTGTTGAAAGATATAACTTTTCTAATGCAATCTTTACTTTTGTCAGATATAAAGATAAAGGGATAAAGGTGTAATAAAGAGAAAGTTGTTGTTTTGATGCAAGGGACTGCGCCTCACATTCTTCAAATCTTCAAGGGTAGCAGAGTCATTATTACATTCTTGGAGGACCAAACTTGCAATTATTGAATTTATATATATATATATATATATATATATATATATATGCTTGCTATTAGGTCTAGCTTACGGTTGAGTATCATTTTTCTTCAACTCTATATTTTCACAGATCTCTTTCTCTCTCAAACACTTTAATATTTCATTCTTGTTAAATCATTTTGGTTAACATTTGTGTTAAATCTAAGGTTCTTGTATTTCTTTTTGTATTGTAATAGTTGATTAGCTAAGAATAAACTATTAGCTAATAAATTAGCAAGCTGTAAATTAGCTATATATTTCTGAGTTTAGCCTCATCTATTTTAGGATGTTTATTCTGTCATTGATCACCCCCAAATGAGTGGAGATCATTTCCTAATTTGTAGCCTCTCAGTTGTATATATATTCAGCTGATGTATATAGAAGATAATCAAGGAAAACACGATTACTTTCATGGTATCACTAGCTCTTGCTCTCTTATCATCAGAGATCAAACCAC